AAGACATAAAAACAGAAATCAGTTCTCTCTCCAGCCAACTGGTTCTGTTGTTTTGAAGAGTCTTGCTATAATGATCTGGAAACCATCAGCAGGGTGACAACACCCTTCAGAGTACATAGGGTCGGGTGAGAACACACTCTACAGAGTGCATGGGGGGGGTATAATAGCACACCCTACAGAGTGCATGGGGTGTGTGTGATAGCACACCCTACAGAGTGCATGGGGGGTATGTGATAGCACACCCTACAGAGTTCATGGGGGGGGGGTGATAGCACACCCTACAGAGTGCATGGGGGGTATGTGATAGCACACCCTACAGAGTGCATGGGGGGTATGTGATAGCACACCCTACAGAGTGCATGGGGTGTGTGTGATAGCACACCCTACAGAGTGCATGGGGGGGGTGATAGCACACCCTACAGAGTGCATGGAGGGGGAGGGAGGGGTGACAGCATACCCTACAGAGTGCAGGGATGGGGAGGGAGGGGTGACAGCACACCCTACAGAGTGCATGGAGGGGGAGGGAGGGGTGACAGCACACCCTACAGAGTGCAGGGAGGGGGAGGAGCGGGGGTTTTCTGCCCACCAGCCACCTGACAGAAAATAAATACAAAAACTTAGCAGCAAGAGATCAAATAATTTGATTTCTTGAAAAATGGGCAATTGACCTAAACAGAAGCTCTTCAAAACAAACACAAACATCTAGTATTTATATGAGAAATGTCCAACATTATTAACCACTAGGGAGATCCAAGTTAAAAGTACACTGAGGAGATGGTCTGGTGGCACCTTCAATCCCAGCTCTCAGGAGGCAGGGACAGGCAGATCTCGGTGAGTGTGAAGCCAGCCTATTGCACATAGCAAATTCCAGAGCTATATAGTAAAACCCTATCTTGATAAAGTTAAAATAAGCCTGCCCTGAAATTCTAACTCACCCTAGTCAAAATGGCTATTACCCCAAAGACAAAAAAATAACAAATCCGGTGCCAAAGTGGAGAAAAGGAGCCTTTCTGTGCTTTTGGTGGGAATATACAATCATACAGCCACTGTAGAAGTATGGGGGTTCCTAGAAACACAACTGCCATATGATCCAGTCATGCAACTTGTGGTCATTTACCCAACAGAAAAGAAATAGGCAGAGTACAGAAAAAAAAAACACAAACAAACAAACAAACAAAACCAAAAGGTGGACAGGCGGGCCACACAGCGATTACTGAAGCCCTGTTCACAATAGCCAGGGTACCAAATCAGTCAGTCATATCAAGAAATAAATGCACAAATAACCAAACACAGTAAATGGACACTGTGCAGCATTATTGAGCCTTAAGGAAATTATGCCATTTACAGGTAGCAGGTAAATCTAACCATCAAGTTAAGTGAAATCAAGCAGATTTAGAGCATAGGTATTACATGTTTTCTCTCACATGCAGAAACCCAAAAAACCAAAAGTGACAACGACCAGAAAGCAAAAGAAAAGACTACTCTGAAAAGTGGGAGGGAGGGCACGAGGGTAGAAGGGAAAACAGCCATGCTCAATGACAACACAGACGGATATGAAAAGTATCGGAAGTCCACCAATGTGCACAACTAATATACATTAATACTCATCATTCTAAAAGGCACTGGGTGAAACTGTGGCAACCAACCCAGTGGGGAAAGGTAAGAATCCAGACTCAAGTCAAGTGCTGGAGAGGAGTCAGGGTGAGGAGAGTCCTGGGTGACAGGCCTGACAGGATGGAGCAGCAGCTGGCAGTCTACACAAACAGCAGGTCATCACCCATGTTCCAGGGACACTGGAAAAAAGAATCCTACCCCAAATGCAGTAGACGGCAGGACCGTTCTAGAGACAGACGGTTCCAAGAGGAACTATACAAACTGACATGTGGGCATCCTTTTAAGAAACTAGCTTTCTTTGTTACCTACAGCCTAGCTCTCCATCAACAAATTCTGGGCTTACAAGTAAGCTCTTGCCACTCCTCAGTATGTTATTCTGAGATAGGAACAGTGAAGATCACCACCATTCATTTGAAGACCCATAACAGGAAAGACATGGACCAAGACAAACAGCAAAACTGAGCCCATGAAATAAAACAACGTAAAGCCCACCCCCTAAAAAACCCAAATTAAAACTAATTCATTTTTCAAAGAGAGAATATATGTATCATCCCTGTGAAATAAAATCAACACTCTCAGAAAGAAACACTAAGAACATCAGAAGCTCCTCAAACTTGAAACAATGACATCAGGTTTATTTTAGGCGTAAGGGCTAGAAGTCAAAGAACTTGTCTAGAAAAGAGTGGTGGCGACAGGACATAGGCAGAAAGTTACAAAAGCCGAAGGGCCAATCAGAGAAGCCCATAGGACCAAGCCCAGAGGCAAGGAAGAAAAGCAACCAAACAGCAATGTAGATGAACAATATAGAACAGAGAACAAAGAAACCACACCAGGGCATCCCACTGCCAAACTGCAGAATGAGAGAGATAAAGAGAAGATCCTTAAAGCCTCCACAGAGGAAAGAACCAGAAATCAGAACAGCACCTGCCATCTCAGCAGCAGAAACAAGACAGAAGGAAATGGAACAATTCACTTCAGCTTTCCAAGAGAGTAACACCCAACATGGATGTCTGCTATGGCACAATGCTTCCCAGTAGCTGCCACAAAGTCTTGCTCCAAACAGCAGCATTCTCCTCTCACATGCTGAGAGAATTGAATAGTTATTAAGTAAGCAGAGAACAACATTTACTTAGTGCAAGACTTTCAAAGAATAGCACAGTACCAACTGGGCATCTATAAAGATTTGCTATCACAAGCAGTATAGCCCCTTGGTAATTAGATTCAAACTCACACTGTTCAGAAACAGGATTATGTGTCCATAAGAAATAAATCAAAACAGAAAACAACAACAACAAAACCCCCCCAAAAAAAAAAACATGCCGGGGTACTGGTGGCATGAAGGTGCTCTAGAGCAAGCCACTTCTAGAGCACCATCTCTAGGTGTCCACCCTATTCCAGATTAATACTGTGCCTGTGACAACTGATGGAGAAAAGAAAGCCAAGCAAGTTCAAATGGCGGAAAGGAAGGAGCCTGTATTTCTCAGCTCACAGATAAGCATCCATAAAAAATGACTTTGAAACTAACAGAAAAGAAGAAAAAGCAAGTATTTACTTTCCACCTCCCAAGAGTGCTACCCACTAATGCTACTAAATGTATCTCTGTCTTAGGGAACAAAGTTCCCAGTGTGAATATAGCCTGAGACTTCAACTAAGTATAAGTCCCCCACTTCTGACAGACACTACAAAGTAAGAGCCATCTTCCACACATACACTATCTGGGTTCCTTACTACTGTAGAGACAAACCTCCCATAATGGTTATGCTCATCACAACAACGTGCTGTCCCAACAGCATGCTCCCTTCAGAAGCAGTATTTCTCTCTGTGGTATAGCCAGCCTAATGGGACGGAGATTACTCAGTCAACTACAACACTCTCCACCAATCTCATTCTTGAACATATACTCAAAGACAATGAGATCAGGGGCTGGAGTGTAGTCTAGTGGTAGAGTGCTTGCCTGGCATGGTTCGTAAGTCCTAGTTTGACCCCTAGCAAAAGAAGTGTAAGGAAGGCAAGAAGGGAGGATGGAGGAGACAGGAAATGACTTGAAATCAGTATGTCAACAAAATCTTATCTTGCCACATGTATTGCAACATTACAGTACCAAGATATAGAGTAAACCTAAATAGCCATCAACGGACAATGTGCTATATTTCATATACATGTGTTACATCAGTATTATGACTTGCATTACAATGGAGTACTATGCAAACATAGCAAGAGAGATGTACCTAGAGGACACTCTGTCCCATGATATAAGCAAGCCAGGCACAGAACACACAGGACACAATCTCTTGTGGAATTTTAAAGTTATCTCAGAGAAGTTGACAGTAAAGTAGTAATTATCAGAGACTGAGGAGAATATGAGGAAGGCTGGCTAATGGCTACAGTGACAGTGAGGAGGACGAAGTTTTGGTTTAAGGCACTGGAAATGACCTGATCACTGCCAATTTATACATAAACCAAAAAACCCACATTACATTGTAGTTCATAGTATGTATGACTATCATGTGTCTATCAAAGCTACAAGTAGAAACTAGGCAAAATGGCAACTTAATCAAGGACATTGAAACATACTACAACCCTGAGCTGTTGTGAAACTCCTAGTATTCCATTGTTTTCCCCAACTCACTAAGGCCCCCTCACATCCCCCACTCCCCACCTTCTCATCCAGCCCTTCGGAGATGAAAGCACATTTCAGAACCCTTCCCTGGACAGTCGGATATCTATTGAGGTCCACCAGCAAAATAATGAGCAGTAAAGTCATCACTCCAAAGATCTCAGAGGTGCTTACAATCTCTTTCCCTTGAGACAGGGCCTCACTTTGCAGCCCTGGCTGGCCTAGAACTCATAGCTCCAGCTACCTCTGCCTCCTGCATGCTGGAACTGAAGGTGTGCACCTCCACACCTTTCTAAGCTGGTACCTAGAATCTTAAATCACCAAAGCCGACTCTACGTAGAGACTGTCCACTATTGCTCCTCAATATCCTGACTCCACGTTACAAGTTACATCCTATCCCAGTCACTTCTGCGGACCAAAGTTTAAACTGTCATCTTCACCTGGGTTTCCACTTTCCACAATGGAAAAACGATAGTTTCAGATAGGAGCAATGCAAACCCCACTTCCACACCATTTCTATGACTCCATTTGGCCCGAGTTCTATCAACAGGATCATGATAGCAATAACTGGTAATTTCCATAGAGAATATCATCATGAACTAAAGAATTCAAACCTTAAGTTAGGTTGTGGGAAATCAGAAATTGTAATGAGATCTGAAAGAACTCTTAATTCTGCAGGGTGCTGTTTCTCCATCTCAGTATTTTAATAGGTTGTCTGTCACATTTTAACAGTGTCTGATGCAGTGATTCCTATCATGCACAGTCTTACCTGTCTGGCTTTTAGGTTCTTCCCAGCAGAACTGTTCTCATTTGTACCATCCATTCCTCGAAGAACACTGATGAAATCCTTCTTGGAAACAGTTGACATCAGCTTAGCTCGCTTCCTGATGGAGCCTCCTGCTTCCTTAACCTTTTCACCGACATTCCTTTGGTGTTTCTGAACTGCATTGAATAACTGCACCACACCCCTAGAGTACAACACACCAGAGCAGTGTAACACAGACAAGCACAGCAGAATACCGTCTCACCACCAGTCTAGAAGAGGCAAGCACTCTCGGGTGGAAAATATTCTCACTTATTCTTGAAAGCGAACACTGAGCTGAACTGACTCCCATTGGCGGCTTAGTGGACAGTGTAGAAACTTAATGGGCACTGTCTTTCTTAGTCAAATCAGGTAGTAAGCTTATTTTACTTTTAAAGTGTACTGAATACATGAGTGAATGGTCTTAATATATGTTAATAAGCTGAATTTTCATGTAGTTATTTTAAAATAATAATGGTTATGGAGCTGTTGAAAACTGAGTTGTTGTTTTTCTTTTTCAAACCAAAGTGAGCATAGTGTCTCAATTTCCAGGGATCCTCACAGGCTAGGAATAACAGATAAGTCAAGACAGACTTAGTGTGTACAGACTCTCCACCATTTCACTGTGTAACCCTCACACAGAACAGAAAATGACCAGAGTAACCTGTCAACCAGAAGTTAAATATCACTCCACCAAATAAAACTTCCTGTATTTTAAGTAGCAATTTAATGTTGCCTCCTGCGAAGCCTTCCCCGATTCCCCAACTCCCACGGTTGTCACTATACACAGAATACATCCCATTCTCAAAAGACTCATTTCTACAGGTCACACAGAAGACACCATATCCTATTCAGCCCTAGACATGGAAGGTGACAAATGTCTGGTGCTCGTGTTGGGGGTGGGGTTCAGAGGGGAAAGGCCAAGGTAAAGCTGGCATAATGTGTGACATCTCACCCTGCAAACACAATCTAGAGAACAAACCCAGCACCATGCATTAGACAAGCACCAGAGAGAAACGCAGTCAGGGGTCTGACTCCACAATTCCCACAACTATACAAATGATGACCCCCGCAGACTCAGGCCAAATACACACTTAGCATACTACAGTTCTGCCTCATGACACCTCCAAAGTCTTTGGTTAAATTCAGTGTCCAACAGCAGGACTGGATGTGTGGCACTTGGCTCTGAGAAAGCAGAGCTTAGGAATCCAATCTGACCAAGTAGATCACTGTCAAAGCTTTTGCTTTTGTGTACTTATTTTTAAAGGCAGAAGCACTGTCTTACCTCGTGGCAATCCTTTGAAGGTTCCTCTCTGCCTCTTTGTCGTTGACAACATCTGGCTTCACTCTGCACATCATTTCCCACTCCCGCTTCTTATCAAGCTGTATTATAAATAGTTATGTGAAAGAATATTAGGCATTTTTGAAAGTGCAGCAAACTTTGATATGATATTCTGTGAAAGGACAAAGGTAATAAATCACCCAGCTCTGTGTGTCACAGGGGCTGTTTTTAAAAGCACAGTTTTAGGGGCTCAGCTCCGACAGCCTGTGGTTAGCACTCGGCATGTCATGTGAGAGGCAGTCTCTAAGAGGTCCTCTGGCATCAGGCTCTGGAGAACTGCCAGCACATACAGCCAGGCAGTGCAGTACAAGGTAGGGTGAGCCAACCATCCCCCTGACTGCCACAGCACATCAGCAGGATGCACAAGACCGACCACACTGCTCACTTTGGTAAGGGCAAGCTAGGCTACCTGTTATCTTCAGAGTAGATTCACCAGCTCTCAGAATCAATTCTGTACCAGCTCTGAATAGAACAATATCATATGCAGATATTCACATACTGTCTCGCATATTATCTATTTCTCTTTATATAAAATCATATAAACATATTTCTCCTCTCAAGGCATATCTAACAGTGTTCTCATCACATATAGCCTTTTTAGTCCCAAACTCAAATGAACACATTTCCTACCACTGTGCAAATACTGAAGGGAAGCTGGACAAAGGAAATCCCACAGACAACACTCAGGTTGTGTAAAATGGCCTCTGAGTAACATCCTTGGCCCCAGGTGCCTGACTGACTGCTCAGGTCTGTTTCCCAAACTGATATATACTGACCAGATGAACTACTCGCCTGGAGGCCACTAAGCATCTACACCAAGAAGGGTGGAAAATGCTGGCTGGTTTTTCTCTACCCTCCTCTCCTTCTGTAGTAAGAACATGGTTCAGGCTGGGCAGTGGTGGCGCACACCTTTAATCCCAGCACTCAGGAGGCAGGGGCAGACAGATCTCTATGAGTTCAAGGCCAGCCTGGTCTACAAGGTGAGTTCCAGAGAAACAACAAAATAACGACAGAACACAGCTAACACTCCAGATCTGACAACACAGTCTGGCTCCTTAAGAAAAGGGATTCTTCCCCTGTCGGTGCATTTCAAAGTCAGCAGACTCATCACCACACAAAGTAAGAAACAAAACCATAACAAGTTACATCGTTATCTGACTTCTACAGATGGCCAGTCCCACCACTGCTGCTATCAGCAAGAGTGCATCCATGTGCCCAATGCACAGTACTTCTCCAGCATTCAAGTGTTCATCCATGTGCCCCATGCACAATACATCATCTCTAGCACTCAAGTGTGCATCCATGTGCTATGGTGATATTTTATTTGTGCTTTGATAAAGATGCGGGGAGGGGAAAGCCAGCCATTTTAAGTAAACAAAGTCAGGCAGCACATGCCCTTAACCCAATCACTTAACAGGCAGGGTCTCTGTGTGCTCAAGGCCATACTAGGGAACAGAGCCAAGCATGGTGACACACGCCTTTAATCCCAGTACCAACCATAGAGACCTGGAGGTCTGTACAGACAGGCAGTAACAAGGAAGTGAGGTAGCTGGGCTAAGAGCCAATGAGAGGGCAGAAAAGCAAGGCATATGATGGCATGGGTAGACAGGAAGTAGCTCACATTTGGAAGCTGCAGAGTTGGCGAGTTAAGGTTGGCTGGTGGCTTTCCCTATTTCCCTGATCTAAGGCTTTCACCTCTCTATTTGACTCCATGTTTTTTTATTTAATAAGACCATTTAGAAGTTTGTCTACAATGTGCCCCGTGCACAGCATATCATCTCCAGCACTCAGAGCTGACCTACAACTTGCCCCAGGCTTTAAATTCTTGCCCTTCCTGGAATTTGGAGACTAGAGGTAATTACAGATTCTGTCATTTTAAAAGCTGGTTCTAATCTTTACCAGTTAATAAACAAGTATTCAAATTTCAGGGGAAAAGCTCTCTGTAAGGTTAGAGACAAAGTTTACCTTAAAGTACAGAAAGAACTATCAGGAAGAGCACACCTGTGTGTCAAGACAGCAATGCAGGAAAGCCCAACTTCTAAGCGGAGTAACCCAAGAGGGAACAAGGGCATGCCAGACATAAAAAGCAGCATGCCCTAATTCAAGCCTCTTTCTTCCATTTATACAGAAACTACTCCTTGGAAGTTTGTACTTCTACACTGTCAGTACAAACATGGGAAGTTACTTTTCTTTCATTAGAAACTACTTATTTTTATAACCAAATATTTTTGACGTACTGATACTTATAGTACAGAGGACATGAAAAGCTCACCATAGCTTCTTTTACACTGTACAACAGCCAACTTCTTGGAAAATTTAGGTCTTTAATCCAGGTTAGACTAACTTCTATCAGCAGTGATTGACCAGAAAAGAATCCGGTCTGTCAGCAGAAAACCATTTCTAAACTGCATGCAGTTTGGTATTCAGATTTCCATAGTAGGGCTGGGTGTGCTCAACAGCCCGCACAAGACTGTAGTTCTGACTTACCCTTGCTTACCCACCCCCACATAAGACGCCCTTAAAGCTGAATGCTTCTGTGACAAACTCCAAGGACAGCACAGACAAACGGACAGACAGACCTGCTTCCTCTTCTCCAACCTCTCCTGCTTTAGTTTCTCCTTCTCCTTCTCCAGCTCTTTGTTTTTGGTGAGGATGGTGGGTTTACTTTTCGGAGTCTTTTTGTTAAGGATTTTAGCCATGGCATCTGCCCAGCCAGAATTAGTCCCAGCACTTGGTTCTGCAGCCTCATCATTATCTTCCTCACAGGATTCAACATTGTCCTCACTGTCGGCTTCTACTGCACCATCATCTGACAACTGGTCCATTTCTGATTCCCAGCTTCGTATGGAACCTAGGAGTAAAAATAAATGAAACTTTAGTGCCCTGGGCAGAGCACTGCCAGGCCCTCCTGACGCCCGTGTCTGTGGCAGTGACAAAGAGCACCAGGACTCCTTGTGTTGCTAAAAGCACCAGAGAGCAGCCCACAGTGAGGACCAGGAGTCAGAGTGGCTTCAAGACCCAGGCTGCAGAGATAAATCCAACAGCTGCTCCACGTCACAGCTGTAGGGATGGAGGGAGGCCAGGGAGGTCCAGTGCAGAGTGCTTCAAGACACAGACTTCGACCGAGCTGAGCTCTAAACTTATTGAAGAGACTAACAAAGATTACTTTTAAGAACTGCAATATTAGCTGGGCAGTGGTGGCTCATGCTTTTAATCCCAGTACTCAGAAGAGAGATGCAGGTGGATCTCTAAGTTCAAGGCTAGCCTGGTCTACAGAATAAGTTCCAGGACTACACAAAGAAACCCTGTCTTGAAAAAAAGCAGGAGAAAAAAAAAAAAGAACTAAAGTATTAATTCATTAAGAAAAACATTTTAGTGTACTGTTAGAGTACCAGTTTTCTAAAAAATTTGCCACACATATTAAAATTCTAAACTTATGTCCAGAAAAATACTAAATACACCTGATTTTTTAAAAGTTGGATATAGCAATAAAATTTATTTGTTCATGTCTTACATTTTTGAGGGGGGAAAAAAACAAACCCAAATGATAGAATCAAGACGTTGACGCAGTGCTGAGTAACCACGGAACACCAGCCTCCAAGCCACCTGAGCTCCTGGCTGTGCTGCAGAGCTCGCCAGCAGAAGCACCAGAGTACAGAGCACAGTACAAACTAGGGCCTCCCTTAAACCCAGGCGGCAGGGGTCAGCGGACAGCTGCAACAGCAGCACCGGTGGGCGTGGCTGGGAAAGCTTGCTGAGCAGCTGGGGTATTGTAAGCTTAGCGGGCAGCACAGTGTACACCCAGCTATACGACCAGGGCACTCCACGGCACTCCACGGCACTCCACGGAGCTCAAGTGTCTTCTTTCAGAATCCCATGGAATTCACTGGAAAACACTTCAAAGGGACCTGCAATGTTTGCTAATAAGGGCTAACAAAGGCAGCTGAGAATTTCTCAAAGAGGAAAACTCAGAGACAGCAGTTGCCTTTGAGAAACATGAATTCCCCACTGCTCTCCTTAATACAATCCGACACCCCTCATGGTGGCAGGTCCTTCTAACCTCAGACTTTAAGCCACAAATCAGCCAAGACAGCTGGTTAGATATTTACCCAGGGACTGATTATAATACACGTCCTTCAGGTACTAATTTTGATTAATACAAGTTGGGCATCCCTAAATCCAAAAATCCAAACACTGCAATATGAAGCTTTTAAATGCCATATTGATCAACTGAACTGAATTTGGGGGCATTTCCTTGGATTTCCTGATTAGGGTTGAAGACAATCCACCAGTAAAGTCTACAAAGAGTAATACAATTAACACAGCAAAAACTGTCCACAGCCAAGGGACACACAACTTCTCCCCAGCAGCATCTTTGAGGACCTTGTATATATTAACAGTTAAATAATGCAGGTAGTGGAAAAATATTCTGTTTTAGTTCTCAGAGTTGTCAGCACTTAAGATACTAATGACCAACAATTCTCTCTCTCTCTCTCTCTCTCTCTCTCTCTCTCTCTCTCTCTCACACACACACACACACACACACACACACACACACACACACACACAAAAAAAAAAAAGCCCTGCTTTTTTAGTAAGCTTTAACCAGATGTAAAGAGATACAACCACTAAAAGTTTTAAGAACCAACACTACCTGGGACATTTGAAGCAAAAAAAGGCTTTACCAGCTCCTAGAAAATGTCAAAACTACAACACTGACATCTAGTGTTCGTCCTGATGAACCTTACAAAGGCAGCAAGGAGCTACGATGTGAGCGGGAGAGAAAGAAGTCTTTCCATGCTGCAAGCCACTGCAGCTCCCCACTTACCCAGAGTAATAACCACACACACACACACACACACACACACACACACACACACACACACACGCCCCAGAATTTCCTTGTAGGAATACTGAAGACCAGCAATCATTATGAGAACAACAACAAAACAGGAGCTCTTCATTTTCAATTGTATCCAGACACAGATTTGGCTAATTTTTCACTAACCAATCTTCAGCATCAGAAAGTAAACACAGCTGTCTAACACATGACTAGAAATCACTAGACATGTATAAAATTCTATCCAAGCTCTATATTACTTTAAAAGTGACTTCAGAATTTTACTTTAAAATTTTGAAAACCAAGGGAGAACTACAGAGGATGTTTACTGCAAATGACGGCCAAACGTCCAACCATGATTTGCAATCCCCCACAACAGTTACCCATTGCTATCACACACTTCAAATATGTCCACACGACTGAGGAACACAGTTCTTCAATGTTAACCACCTTGAATGTAATCTGACTGGACTGAGGAAGACATGGAGACTTCTCACCTGCTGCTGCTTCCAAACCCTCAGCGGCCTCACAAGCTTGCCTACCTGCCAATTCTTCAGCCCAGATATGATTAGTGGCTGGCAGGAAAGTAAACGGTTTCCTTCAGGACCAAGACAAACTTTTAAAAACATGCACAACCCCCAACATTTCTGAGCACCTCTAAATGAAGAACAAGGAAAGAAATGAATAATTCTACCTTTCTTCCCCCAAAGAACTCAAGTTTAGCAGACAAAAGAAATGTTCAATAACAATTGTGAATGTCCTAGGAGGAAAGAAGGAAGCACTGGGGACAGGAGAGAGGAGGAGGCCTGGGGAAAGTTCCACATAGACAATACTGTGCCATGAACCGCTAACCACTCACACGGGGCGACTACATACTTCAAATCCTAGGCATGCTGCTTTGCTATCTGAAGTAAATAAATGATAAAGAAGGCAGTTTGATGAAAAGCACATTTATCTGCTAGGTTATTAGGTCTTAAATGCAGTTTTGCCATTCATCAAAAATGAAAGGCTACCTCTAGGATTCCTACACTGGATTGTTATGAAGTCCTGTATGAGAAGTGGACAGTCACTTTTCAAGCATGTGACCAAGACAATTTAGGGTTTTTCACTGTCTAGAAATGACATTACCTCCCACCTTCCTATGTCACAGTTGGAGGACACTTTCTCTGGGGAAGTGTCTCTTTCTCATCCTGGCAATGGCTGGAGATAAGGATTTGCTCACCTGGGCTTGATTGTGGACTACAGATGCTTTCCCCCATAAAAGCTTACAAATCTCATCGGTATTGTGCCTGAACTTCCTGCATTGGTTCAACTATTTGAGTAATAGCTCGGTTAGTCCCACCTTCCTCCACTAATAGTATGTGACATCAATGGTCATTGTTTTCATCTTTTGACCAAATTTCAACAGAAGTGATTTATTTATTAGGTTTTGTTGTTTTTGTTACTAAAGCTACAAATTGAAGAACCAAGTATACATTGTATTTGAACCAAAAAATTATCCACTTCATCTGAGCAGCTCAAGGACAACTCTACAGGGATATCATCCTCCCTTCGCCCTATACCAACTGACATTTATGTATTGTTTAAGATTCAGACTGGTCTAAGGCTGAGGCAGGGGAACTGCCAGGTCAAGGCCTGCCTGGCTACTCAGTGAGTTCAAGGCTAGCCTGAACAATCTAGTAAAACCAGGTCTCAAAACAAAAAGTATGGGCTGGGAGATGGGTCAGTGGTTAATAGCACTTGTTTTTGCAGAGGGCACAGGTATGGCTCCTAGCACCCGCATTAAGAGGCTCAAAATTGCCTGTTACTTCAGTTCTAGATGTAACGTCTTCTTCTGGCCTTCCTGGGCACTGCATATCCACGGTGCACACAGAGAATAAAATAAACAGTGCTGAAGAGGTGGCTCAATAGGTAACGTGTTTGCTGCTCAGATCTGAGAACATGAGTGAGTGAGTCCAGGAGTGCTCATCTATAGTTCCTGGGTTCCCATGGAAGGAGGAGAGGGTGACAGGAGACTCTCTGGCAACTTACAGCCCAGACAGCATGGTATACGCAGTGGCAGATAACAAGAGACCCCCATCTCAGACAAGCTAGAAGACAGACCTACACCCAAGGTTGCCCTCTGATTTCCTTGTGCATGACACAGCACAGGCATCACACACACACACACACACACACACACACACACACACACACACACACACACATAGAGAGAGAGAGCGCGCACGCACGAGCAAGCTGAGGTACAGCTTCACTTAGAGCACCAACCTAGCAAGTCCAAGGCCCTTGAATTTGATCCTTCCTCACCTTCTCCCAAAAGACACAGACTGTACCAATTTTACATTCCATATGTCTCTCTGGTTCATGAGCATGTTCCATTTTGTTACAACAATAATTAAATATTCTGAAAAGTATTACAACTACCATCATTCAAGTTTACGATACCTACAACTGCAGTTACTTTTACCCTTGGCGACTGTCTGGTTTTCTAAGAATAAAAGTGTAAAACAATTATATTAAAAGGGGTTTCACATCTCAAGATAAGGCTCAGGCAATGACTTTCCAAATAAGACTCCAACAGCTCAGGATGTAACAGAAGAACTGTCAACTGGACAACACAGATGAAAAAGCTTCTGCTCGGCAAAGGACAGAATTAACACTGGGCAGACAGTGTATACAGTAGGGGGAATCTTCACCAGCTACACATCTGGTAAAGGGTTAAAAGCTAAAATACATACTCAAAACTCAAAACACCACAGTACTGAAGTAGCAAAGAATCCCTCAATAAATGGGCAAACTAACTACACAGACACTCTCAAATGAAGAAGTGCACATAACCTAAAACACATAACAAATGCTTACTATCTTCAGCCATGAAGGAAATACAAATCAAAACTGCAGTAAGATCCCATCTCACCACAGCTGGAATATCATCAAACAAAAGAAACAACATATGCTAGCACTGGAGAAGCCAAAGGTGGGAGGGAACATGGGCTGACACAGGAGACCCTGCAGTTAGAGACCACTGTCGGACATGCTGCAAGTCTAGGCTCATGAGATCCCATCTAAAAAACCTGTCAGTGAGCCGGGCGGTGGTGGCGCACGCCTTTAATCCCAGCACTCGGGAGGCAGAGCCAGGCGGATCTCTGTGAGTTCGAGGCCAGCCTGGACTACCAAGTGAGTTCCAGGAAAGGCGCAAAGCTACACAGAGAAACCCTGTCTCGAAAAACAAAAAACAAAAAACAAAAAAAACAACAACAACAAAAAAAAAACCTGTCAGTAGTTTTTAAAATATAAATTCATAGCACCTATAAAAAATTTAATGAGGGTTCTTCAAAAAATTAAAAATTTTGCTTTTAACATTTTGAAATCCATGAACCTTAAAGGGATAATTATTAGTTTGCTACTGCTAGAAATATTATATCCTAAATAAAAGCAGGTATTTTAATAACAACAACAACAAAACGAAAATTGAACTCTGATTCAGTTACATGACTTCTAGTAGTATCCAAAAGAATCAAAGTCAAAGACAACTGCTCAGCCATGTTTACCACAGTGCCACTCAGCCAAGTTCTGGTGTCAGCCTAGTTGTCTACCGGTGGAAGAATAAAGAGATCTTTGCAATGTACTTAATGAATAAAAGTCTACTGAACACCACACATGCATCAGGCTCATGCTAAGCTCTCAGATACTGCTGTCATCAAAGACAACAATGTCTCCGTCTCAGAGATCAGGGAGTTTCTGCAACACACAATATTTCATAAATGCACAATTTTCTACCTTCCTTGTACAAGATGTCAAAAGAAATCAAACCAGAAGATGAAAAGTACAGCTCAAGACACATAAGCCACACCCATGCTATCTGTGAGGCAAGTGCCACCCAACTACATGACAAATGATGTTACTTCAAATCTCAGTAAGGCCTACCCTTAACCACTGTCATGCTCAGCTGAAAAGTCAAACGTGTTTCGGATCCAGTCTCCTGATAGATGGTCCAGGACAACTTAACAATATGCCTGTAACTTGCACACCACTCCTGAGGCCTCAGCCTTTATAGTTTTCAGTTATTATCATCTGAAAGTTTATCAATAGTTGTATAAGCTACAAGTTACCTTTCCAGAAACACTGAATTCACAGGATGAAAACAACCATTTCTCAGGTTAAATATCAAATTCTAAGTCACACCAAAGAATGTGCATTAACCAATAACTATTTATTATCAAATTTACAAAATGAAGGACCCTTTATTATACTTTATCACTGTCACAGAGATGGCTTAAATGCTGAAAAGAAACTAGATGGAGAGCACTAAACTCAGTGGTGGAGCTCTTATCTAGCATTCATATAGTTTGATACCAAACATCATACACATAAAAGTTGTTGGTTTTTTTTTTTTTTTTTTTTTTTTGGAGGGGGGAGTGTGGCTAAGCCCATTTGCTGCTCTTCAGAGGACCTGAGTTCAGTTCCCAGCACCCATGTCAAGGTGGTTCACAACCATCTGTAACTACAGCTCCAGGAGAATCCACGTTTGTACACATAACCACATGAAGATGCACTTACATACACACACACAAATACAAATAAACATTAAGAAAAAAAATAGAGCCAGCCAGATGGCTCAGCATTTAAATGCCCTTGCCACAAACCATGTGAGTCCAATCCTCAGGGCCCACATGGTGGAGAGAACTTGCTCCTGCAGACTGTCCTCTGACCTCCACATGTACGCAGTAGCAAGACCTTCATGGAAAAAATAAACAAACAATGCAATTTTACAGTTTTAAAGAGAAAAATGAGACACAGCCACTCTACTGAATGTGGGTCTAGATTAGGAAAAGAAATGCACAAACAACAACAACAGAGCCAGCTTAGTAAATGGAGTTGGAAGAGTCCATGCTGTGGTAAAAACCACAGCTATAAGCTGAGCCCTTGTAACCTAGCCACTGCAATAGCTTATGATAGTTACTTCTTGGCCCTGAAGTCCAAGTTCATTCATTCATTTCCTTACACACCTGTGAAAGAGCCCCTGAGCAACAGGCATCGTTCTAGGAACTGAGGTTCAACTGCCTGTACACTTATGGAACTTTCAAACAGCAAACACACTTCAGAAGATTTGAAAAGCGGGTTTTAAAAGAGCAAGGTAGGGCTGGAGAAATGTTCAGTAGTTAAGTTCATGCTCTTCCAGAAGAAGAGTTCCTTTCTCAGCATCCACATTAGGCTCCTAACAACCACTTGTAACTTCAGCTTCAGGGGATCTGAGACCTCTAGCATCTACAGGCACCTGCACTCACATTCACATATCCCTCACCCACCCAACACACATACATATAATTTAAAAATAAGAAAAATAAATCTAAAAAAAAGCAGGGCACTAAGCCAACGTGACAAGGAGCACCGTGATGCATTAGAAACATAAAGACAAATCTCCACTGGGTCAGAGACTCAAGCCAACGGAAAATCAGACGGACAGGCAAGCGTTTGAAGAATACTGTAGGTAGTACAGGCAAAAGGTAGAGAAACTCCAGGATGAGGGCACGTCCCAGGTGTCCAGCAACCAATATGAACAGAAAACAGTAATGATCAAGCAGCAGAGGCATGTGATGCAACGAGAGACAAGCCACATCACGCAAGTTAAAAATGCTGGATGTTACTCCGGGATGTGAAGCCATTCATGAATGACTGACACGATCAAACACGCGTGGGTGACCTACACATGAGCAGTAACTAGGGCGTGGGAAGCAGATGTCTGTCCTTCCTTCTAAACTAAGAAGCTGGTGACACGAACGATGGAAGTTTCAAAGCAACAGCAAGGGCAGACACATAATGGTGAAAGACCTCCCCAAATACATCTTCCTTCCATTCTCGAACTGTTATCAAATGTTACTTTTGTTTCTATCCTTTACCATTTACTTTTCTTTCACTGAGTACTATCTTGTCTCTAACTCCCCAGCGCTCCCATTTCCCCCACCGCACAGTAATACTGTTTCTTCCCTCTTGTGGCTTTTTGCTCCTCGCTCTCTGAGCCTATCCCACCCCTTACTTCAACTGAGACCCTTCCTCTCACGCTTTCCTGTTAAGTTTCTCATTGGCACAGGCAGTTTCGTCCATCTTAGTAACAGCTGACTGAGTCGAAACACAAAACTAAACATGACAGCAAAGCGTCTCTGAATGGCAGGCCTCCTCACCCCACCCACTTGCTCGCCCCACGGACCCAACAAGAAGAAACGCAGCCCTTGCCTTGGGGAGTTCAGCTCGACCTTCTCAGTCGCCAAAGCTCCGCCCGACCATGTTACCTTCTCCGTCGGAAGACTCTTTGAGCCCATCTTCCCGATTCGACACCTCATCCTTGGCTACCAGTTTCATCTTTTTCTTCTTCTTCAGGGAACGCTTCAGCTTTTTCCCCGCGCTCACACGTGAGTCTTGAACGGTCGCGGCCATTTTGACCCGCCGGAAGTGCCGCCTGATAATTCAGTCGGTTTGCAACGAAAGGAACTTCCTCCTCTAGTTCCGGCGTTGCAAAGTTCCGGAACACCAACGGTTGTCCTTTCTGCAGTTCCGGGGTTGAAGCCTCGGGTAGACAGAGAAATGTCTCGATCCACAGGTGTTCTCAGGCGAAGGCGAAGTCGGTTCCAGGTCTCACCACGGCCCCCACCGGCGGCCTTTTGAAGTCGGACTCCCTGGCCGGCCCGCCCGGCCCTTTTCCGGGCGGCTGCTGCGGCCAGCTCCTCTTCTCCCTGGAAAGTTGGCTCCCGGAGTTAGAGACCGCATTCCCATTCATTGTAACAATACAATTACAGGATCAAAAAGCAAACTCGACTTTCACACTTTTTTTTTTTTTTTTTAACGGACCAAATGTTCTAATAAGTGTTCCAAAGCTCAGTGTTTTCTGAGTAGAAATTCTTGGTTTTTGTTAGAGAAACTGCCCAGGTAGAGAGGATGAGCCACGCCCTAGTCCTCCCTACCACCTTCCATAAACTGCAAAACAGCCTTGTAGTACCCAAGGTAAGGGGGCGACAATGGGATTATCCTCCTAAATTAAGCCTTTAAACCCTATCTAGTAATTCATTAAATTAAACTCAAGACTCCACCTATTCTTCGAAAGTGTAAAATGTAAGGAATTTCTTTGTGAGTTGCTGTTGGATCCCCAGTCCCTATCCCCAAAATCGCCAGTGTTATTAAAAGATTTCATCATCTGAAATACACTCCAGGCCCTGCCTATAGCCAACCAGTACCCCATTCAGGTTTTCCTTCCTTATCTAATGATTTTTATTCCCTTGGAAGCTCTGCCTCAGCCCCCTCCTCCCTCTCCAAATCCTGCCCCCTCTCAGAAGTCCCCCAAGAGAGGGAGCCACCCCCATCCCCAGCTGCTCAAGGACCTTGCTGCCAGTATTTAAGCTCTGGTCCCTAGACCTGCGACTTGATTCCTTCTCCCCCCTCCCGCCTCTCTTCTGGGGGTTTGGGGCTGGAGGGGTCACTTGGGAGCCTTTTGCTCATTAACCCAGGACTTTTTGTTTGCTTTGATATGGCTTATTGTGTTGGTGGAGAAATCTACTACTGGGGATCCGAAAACACTTACCTGGTGCCGAACCAGTTTTAAGCATCCCAAATTTGTCTTTAAAAAAGAAAAGCAACAGAAAATAAGAATCTTCGTTTTGATGTATTTTGGTTGGTGTCTATGCAGGAAATAAATATATACACCCTAAATATAAGACATTTCAAAAGCAGTACAGGAAATACAGCACTATAAATTCAGTTTTGGACAAGGTCAGATTCCAGCATAAACCTCGGAAGAGAACAATTCTGGTTCAACTCTCCCAGGTCATTGTGATTCCTGTGATATTCTCGCCTCTACAGCAGTGTAATACTCTCATTAGAATGAATGCTGTGCTGATCCTGAGGCTACTTCCTGCTGTCTCATATTTAGCATTTTTTCTTTTTTTTTTTAAATATTTACTTTTTTTCCATACAATATATTTTAATCATATGGTCTCCCCTCCCCTAACTCCTCCAAGATCCTACCAACCCAGCTTCATATTCTTTCTCTATCCCCTCCACCCAAAAAACAGGAGAAACATCAACAAAAATATCAAAACGGAAAAACTATTTTTTAAAAGATTTATTTCTTAGTTTTGTAAGCCTGGGTGTGTTTATGTGCACCACATGCGGCAATGCCTGTGGGGGCCGGAAGAGAGTGTGGGATCCCTGAACTGGAATTCGCTTGAGAGTCATCTGACATGGGAACCTAACCAGGGTCCTCTGCGAGAGTAGTAAACATTCTTAACCACTGGACCATCTCTCTGGCCCCCAGTCTCTCTTCTTTTATTGATTCTTTGTCAAATTCATGCATGTATTCAGTGTACCGTGATAATAGTCACCTCCAAATCTTCTCCCACAACCCCACACCAAATATTACCTGCCCTTCCCATTTTCATGTTCTCTCTCTCTCTCTCTCTCTCTCTCTCTCTCTCTCTCTCTCTCTCTCGTAACATACTGAACCCAGTTGGTGCTGACTCTGCTCATGGACAACCTACCATCAGCCATAGCCTTGAAGAAAAATGCATCCCCACCCCAGTCATCAGTTAGCAAAAGCTCCTCATCTGTGGGTGGGGCATCGTTAGTTCCACATACACACACCCAATCCATGGACTGAACCCACTTCTTTTTTTATTTTAATTTTGAGGCAATGTCTTATAAAGTTCCCCAAGCTGGCCTTGAATTAACTCTGTAGCTCAGGCAGGTCTTGATTTTTACTGTTTCTGCTTCAGCCTCTGCAGTAGTTGGAGTTTCAGGCCTGTGCCATCAAGCCCAACTTTTACATCAATATAATCATTTCTATATAAGAATTGTTCAACTATGTTCATAGCAGCACTATTCATAATAGCCAGAACCTGGAAACAACCTAGATGCCCGTCAACTGAAGAATGGATTAAGAAAATGTGGTACATATACACAATGGAGTACTACTTGGCAGAGAAAAACAATGACAGCATGAAATTTGCAGGCAAATGGATGGAACTAGAAAATATCATCCTGAGTGAGGTAACCCAAACCCAGAAGGACAAACATGGTATGTACTCACTCATAAGTGGATACTAGATATAAAGCAAAGAACAATCAGACTGCAACCCACAGAACCAGGGAGGCTACATAGCAGGGGGGACCCTAGGATGACTGTGGCTTATAATAAGATTTGGTTTTACTCAATCACTGGGCAAGCCTCAGTGAAACATTTCACTATTAGGATAAGAATTTGTACTGTACTGTATCAAGCTGATAATAGAAAAATAAATAAATAAATAAATGAAAAAAAGAATTGTTTTGAGCTTGGTTACAGTTTAAAATATTACTTGCAGGAGAAACAAATACTTAATTGGTTACACGTGAAATTTTTTCTTCATTAAGGCAATATAAAGTAGAATCCAGGTTTTGTATTTGGAAATCTGATGATCAGAAATGGATATTGTGGGAAGTATCTGCATTACTTCCTTTAATTTTCATAATAAACCAATGAGCTAGTAGCTATTACTATTTCTACTTCATAGATGAAAGAAGCAAGGCTGAAAAGAAGTAAGTGTTCAAAATCACACAGGCAGTGAATGGTAGAATCTACTCAGGCCTAAGCCCTCTGCCCCAGAGTCAGCTTGGCCATTTAACTGAACAGCCTACTTATATTGTTGCATTTTAACACTTAGAAAGCATGAAATAAAAATAAACAATGAAAATTTCAGGTAGCAACTGGAATTCACAAATTAGAAAACAAACGTTTGCTCTTCCAATGATCCATTGTAAGTAAAAAGACTAGAAATCCACTATCACTGGAACAACAAACCAACTCAATGACATTTTGGGAGCTTTTTTTTTTTTTAACTTTAGAGGTCCTTTGTGTATATATTCTGGTTTCTCATTTAGTGCTTTTATGAGATTTCTGCGTGTGTGAATGTGTGTGTCTCTTCATCTGTATGTGTTTCTCGTGCTTTTCCTTTGGCTTTTTTATTCTGTTTGTTTTGTCCTATGCCAATGTATTCGTTTTCATTGTCTCTTATTTTATCATTATTTTTCGATGTCTGTTTTCTAATGAGAAAAAGAGTGTGGATTGGGGTAGGAGGGGAGGTGGGGAGGAGACCGGGGAGGGGAAACTATAATCAGAATATATTGTAGGAAAGAAATCCCCTGTGTCCCCGAAACAGCTGATGTCATCTGAAGAATGGGATAAACAAAGTGCACCAGTTATCAGTGAGTGGTCCTGAGCATGCCTCCCCTGCCAGTGTGGACTTTCCCTCTGGAAACTAAGCCAAAATAAATTCTCTGTTCTAGGTCATAGTGTTGTATCACAGAAACAGAAAAATAAGTAATTAAAATGGTGGATCCCTTAAGGTTTTGAGAGTCACTAAGGAGTAACTAGAACTCTACTTTCATAAGCCAGGTTATTATTTTTTTTTTCAGGAAAAAGATGAACTTTTCTAAAGTCTGTATTTAAAAATCCAGTTTGTAAATCTCTTCCTGTGTCCTCTAACTTCATTTTGTTTTCTTTTTGAAATAGGATCTCATGTAACCCAGACTGACCTCAAGCTTTCCAATAGCCAAAGGTGATCTTGAACAGGGTTTCTCTGTGTAGCCCTGGCTGTCCTGGATCTCACTATGTAGACCAGGCTGGCCTCAAACTCACAAAGATCCACCTGCCTCTTCTTCCTGAGTGCTGGGATTAAAGGCTGTGCCACCACTGCCCAGCACATCAGAGCCTCTTGAACTGATTTTCCTGCCTCTACCTCCCAAGAGGTGAGATTACAGGCCCGTGATACTATGCCTGGCTTATACAGTGCTGGGAATGGAGCCTAGGGTTTTATACATGCTAGGCAGGCACGCTACCTTGAGCCACATCCCCAGCCAAACTTCTTTTTACAAGATACAATTTCTAAATCCTTTGAAACTCTTTACAGAGGGATGTTTCCCATCATCATTAGTCTCTTGTTGTGTTTTTAAGATTTATTTAATTTTTAATTGTGTGCATGTGTTTGTACACATGAGTACAGTGCCCACAGAGGCCAGAAGATGGTGTTGGATCCCTGTAGCTGGAGTTATGGGCAGATATGAGCCACCCAACATAGGTGCTGGGAACTGAAGTCAGGTTCTTTGCAAGAGCAGTACTCACTGTTAACCACTGAGCCATCTCTCCAGTTCCTTCATTAATCTCTTGTATGACACTCCGGGTTGTGATGTGATTAAGACCTACTCAAGGCTCAATTCTCCATTCATAACCAGCCTGAGTCCTCAGTGTGCTGTCAGCCTTTTCAAAAACATTCCTAGACTATCAGCTGGCTCATGTTAAGCAAAAGAGCAAGTGAAAACTGGTGAGAGCAGCAGGTTTTATTTCACATGAATAAATTATTCTTGGATTCCTGGTCTCATGGCCTGCATTAGTGATCTGGGCACCATCATGCATCAAGGAGACACATTCCACCTTGTATA